AAAAAAAAAAAAAAAAAAAAAAAAAAAAAAAAAAAGGGCATTTCTCCTGCAATCCAAGGAAATGCCTTGGCAGACCATGGTGCTAAAGAAGCAGCACTGAAAGAGGCCTCAAATCTGGCTTTTGTACCTCTGACTACAAGCCTATGCACAAACCCTTTCTATTCAGAGGTAGAAAGGGAATGGGCAAGGTAATTTAAAATTTCAGGTAGGCGTGGTATGTACTGTACATCATCAATTATAAGCCATCAATGCTGAGAAATCCATATCTTATGTATCCTTAACTACAGAAGGAAAAATAGTGCCAGTTACACCATGCTGACCACTAGGGACTGAATCTGAGCCTCCCAGAAGTAAAAGTCCAGAACTGATGAAATGTAGTGTTGCCTGAGCAGCCAGATCCTGAGCATGGAGGGCTGGCTTGAGGACTTGCTTCACCCTAACCATAACGCTAGCCCCCAGCCCTAACTCTGACTCTAACCTAACCAGAGAAACTCGTAAGAAAACTCCCAGCACAAGGACCTGACCTTGCTAGTGCTAACAGTCTTCAGGGGAGAGGTTTTAACTTGAGCTTCCGAATTCAACAAGCAATGAGAACTTGTGTATTGTGTCTTAGAATGTGTTGAATTTTCCATTGCTGGAAGAAAGTACTCTTTCAATAAAAAATGTGCAAATAGAGGGTGAATCTATCATCATATTTAAGGTATATTATTTTCTCAGGATAAGAATAAAAAGAAACAGGGGCTGGGGGTTTAACTCAGCGGCACAGCGCCTGCCTGGCAAGCGCAGGTCATGAGTTCGCTTCCCAGTACCAGAAAAAAAACAAAAAACAAAAAAGAATAAAAACAACAAAAAGTTTTGTTGTGGTTTTAGTTTTTTGTTTTTATAGACAGGATCTTACTGTGTAGCCCACTGAACACAAACTTGCAGTCTTCCTGTCTCAGCCTCCCAGGTGCTGGAATTACACACACGGCAGCACAGTTTAGTTTTGTTGTTGTTGTTAAGCAATGTATTTTTATGTTGAAGTTAATCCAGATAAGGTTGAAAATCAGATCCACACAGAGAAGCAGGTGGGGGAGAGTGAATTCCCAACTCCTTTTATTTTGTCACCACTTTGGTGTGTGCTGTGCAGCCTGGGACAAGGGTGTTGAGGTTGCCCTGGAGAAGCCTGCTGAGGGTAGCAGGCAGCTTGGCGTTCAGGGGTGGGAACAAACGTCCAGCGGGAATGAGCTCAGCCAGCACGGAGGGCACCAGAGTTGGCAGGGGAGAGGTGCATGGTGGCTTTCAAGACGCACAAGCAGGAAGAACATCAGGAGCAGCTCCCAGAGGCCAGGCCAACCCTGCATGTCCCTGAGCCCCCAGCTTTGCTGCAGACCCTCATAACTTTAGGGCCCTGCAGCCCCATGCCAAGGGCAGTGCACCACAGTGGGAAGGTATGGCTCTGATCCTGGCACTGCCCATCAGGCCAGGCTGCTGCCTGAGGTCTCACTTTCAAGTGGACGCTGGGCACTGTCCAACTGCAGGAGCTAAGGAGCCACGCATGTCCTGGGGCTCTGTGCTTACGTGATGTCAGCACCTCCCCCTTGTGATTTGCTGGTGTGCATTTGACACACTCCACAGTCCTACAGTGTAAGGGTTCCTCCTCCTGCTCCTCAGGGTCTTTTCTGGTTCCCAGATCACAAGCAGGGACACTGGGGATGCTCAGCTCAGAAGTCTCTTTCCTAACAGCCATTCTTATATCAAATATTAGTGACAGCCCACATCAGTGCAAGCCCTTGCCACTGTGCAGTGTCAGCCACTGGAAAGATGAAGGTCACAGGAAACAAAGGCAGGTGAGGACCCAAGACAGCCCAGTTCTGAAGACCTGACTGGTCAGTGGGTCTTGCTCAGAGCACGGCACATGCTCCTGGGACATGCCACATGTGCTACACTGAGCTGGCAGGGTCCTGTTTTTCCTCTAATTTACATTAAAATAGCACAAGAGACCGGTTCCATCTCCACCATAGGCCTGTATTAGTTTTACGGTTGATCCTGGGCGGCAAGAAAATGAGGCAGCTGCTGACCTTGCCTCTCTCTCCTAGTCCTCTGTTGTAGTCTTTCTCACTATTTTCAAAAGGCCAGACTTAAATCCCAGAAAACTACCTGCACATTACCGCAAAATAAGGTGTTAATGATCCATTTGTCTAGTATGGTCCTGCAAACTATCTGCATTTCAGAATTGGACTATTTGAGGATGAACACCACCTCTGATGACCATGCAGATGGAAATCTAGTGTAGAATTCTTTGTTATGAAATTTAAATTCTTCGTGTCCCCATGTGATTCTGGGCATATGGAGCTGGCCCTCTTGCCTTCCTCCTTTGGAAAGAATTGTACAGTTCTCACATGGGGACAGTCATTACCCTGGTGGACCTGCTCCTCATTCACTCCTCTTGTGGATTTTCACTGAAACTTCCTGCTTGTAAAATGCTGCCCTGTCTTAGTTACTTTCTCATCACTAAGACAAAATACACAACACCAACAATTCTAAGGAGGAAAGATTTGTTTTGGCTTAGTCCATAGTCAGCTGACTCCAAGGCAGGGCAGCGCAGCAGAGAGGAGAAACAGTCCATGGCATGGTGACAGGAAGCAGAGGGATCAAGGAGGCAGTGAGGTACCCTTTCCAGTTCATACCCCAGTGACCACTTCCTCCTCCCAGGCTCCACCTCCCCACAACACACTTAGCTGTAATCTCATCAGTGGGTTAAGTCACTGAGTGTCGTGGCCCCATCGTCCAATCACCTCCCAAAAGCCCCACCTGTGAGCACGCCAGGCTCTGGGAAGAGGGCAGACATCTACACATAACCATAACATGTTCTAACCCCTGACTTTCCATTGCATCAACTGGCACATCAGTGGGTTAGGATACAACACAAAGCAGCCTCCAGTGTTCCCATAACAACAAACATCTCATTAGTAACTTGACACACAAATGCCCATCTACCGCCCCCCCACACACACATGATGGCAGGATTTTTAGCACAGGATGAAGAAAATCCAGAGGGGTTGTGTAAGGGGCTTTGGACCTCATGACACTCCATGAATCACAGGAACAGGGCCACTCCTCAGTTACCTTGCCCACTCACACATGCCCAGACTCACACACATACCACACATACACACTGCATGTGCACACACATCACCCATAGCCTTGCACACATAGAATACACCCACACAGTGTTCTTGTCAATTAGTCATCAGTGAACAGCCCAAGAGTGAAACAGAAGGATAAGATGGTTCCTATTTTTAAATAACAACAGTGGGTTCTTCTTTTATAATAATAAAAAAGAATCTGCCCCTAACTCAGATGTTCTGAATATTTACATTTGATGCATTTCATCATTCTGAAGCAGAAACTCACATATTAGCGACTCAAAGTTTAAAAGGTATCCAAATGGTGAAATAGCTACAGATGTTCTCCTTGTCAAAGTGCTTGTTGGAATCTGTGGCTGCTGTCTTCTGGGATAGTTCACAGGGTGAGGAGCTTTTCCATCTTTGCAGGGTCTACACGCGGCCCCCCTTCCTTGTGCTGACTGTCATGAATGCAGTGTGTATTCTGCTGCAAAAGAAACCAAACTGGGCAACAGCAAAGCTGCTTCTTTCAGAAACTGGCTTCCTAAAGAAACTGATTAACCTTGACAAGGACAGCATACCTGATAAGGTAAAAAGTGACTCTCTAATTAATGCATAATTTATGCATTTTATATTCATGATCCACAGAGACAAATAAGAGTTAGAATTGCAATTCTGTGTTAGAAGTGGAAGACAGTGGTAAAAGCCAGGGAAGCAAGCTGCATATCCTAACTCCACAGGTTTCCTAGACGTGTTAAGAAAAAGCAGTGTGTCATTGGAGTTGGAAAATGTCACAGCTCAGAAACTCTTTAACTAACCAAGATTAGAGACGTAGGAGGATAGCTGTAAAATGAAGTCTTTCTAGGTGAGCTACAGTGCATCGTGATCATCCAGTGAGTGGATAAAGGTGTCTCAGACTTATCTTTATTGTTCAGCCAGTTTTCATAGAGCAGCATATGTCAGACCTTGTTCTGAGCATTTTACAAATATCAATTCATGTGCAGGGAGATGGAGCAGAGTAAGGAAAAAAATTAAAGGAAATGAAGCAGCCTGGAACTGTGGTGAGGGTTTTTCTGGAATAGATTTCATTCAGAATGCAGATTGGCTGTAGCTTCAAGGAGAAAGAGGGCCAGGCACAGTCCTGGACAAACATGGACTGGCCATGCTCAGCGAAGAATTCCACAGGAACGGGAAAGGAACATGCAGAGGAGGAGGCAACAGAAAACCAGATGCTTTAACAAATAACTAAAAACGTGGAATTGTATGGTGAAGCTGGAGGAGTGTCCCAACAGAGATGTCACATGGGAGGTGCTTTGAGAGCCATGCTCCAGGGAGACCGGTGGACCTGTTGTCAGTCAGTTCTAGTGTTGTCCTGTGCTGTTAGGAAGCCCCGGGCTGGGTCTGAGCAAGCTGCAATGCTCATGCTGACATCCACATTATACATGGAATAAACACAAGTACCTTGGAAGGACACTTAGCAATAAGAGGCCCTGTGGTTTTGTTTAAATAGATGTGACGTGAATAATACTTAATAGCTCATCTAAATGGATGCTAAAAAGCCTGGCAGGATTTTAAATGGCAAGAAGAACACCAATGCTGACAAACTGAGAATGGACCACTTGCTGTTAAGATGAGCCAGGAAAGTAGTGCTGTTCTCCAGGCAAGCGAGAAAATGCCTGGCTGGAAAGGGAGAAGAAATCCCAGGCTGAGAAGACATCAGTCCAAAGATGGCTCCCAAAAGCAGAGGGGAAACTCTGCTTCAGGGGTACCACTTAGCAGAGGTGGGTCTGTGGGACGCCAGTGACTCCCTGCCACCACGACCATCACCCACCCAACAAGGACCGTGCCTGCCAACATGCCATTGAGGGGTAGGACAGAACCAGCTCCTCTCCCAGTCAGATACACAGGGACTTCAGATCTCCTCATGCACCCCTTCTCATAGTGGAGCTGCTCCTGCAACAGATGCTTTTACCACTGCTTTTACCACTGTCTTCCACTTCTAACACAGAATTGCAATTCTAATGCTTTTATTTGTCTCCTCTTCCCTGCAGAGGCTCCTCCTAACTGGGGCCACTTGGTTCCTAGGATGTAAGCAGGATTCTTATAGGAAATAAAGTTTCATTCATGCTAATATACATTGGGGAAAACTTCAGACCAGTAATAGCTCTTTCTTGTATAACACATTCTCTATAGGTTTTTGTGAAGCTGAAAAAAATTTTGAACTTGCCAGACTTCAACCCAACCAAGATGGCTCTGGTGTCCGCTGCATGTTGCTCCATGTGCCAGTGGGTTATAGCCCTGAATGACTACCGCGAGGTCCAGAAGGTACGCCTCCCCAGGTCTCTGAGAATTCCAGACAGCCTGTGTCTGAGAAATCATCTTCATTAACAATGCTTGAGTGATCCTCTAAGGAAAGGATGCCTGATGAAATCACTTTAACCAAATGCAGTATATCGGGCTAATTCACACAGAGGTCAAATACTCCTGTTCCATTTTTTCTGACAACTATGCTATATTGTTTTATTTTAATATGTTTGGCCATAATAAACCACTTTATATCCCTTGTATACACATACAAAATTCCAGGAAAGTTTAATGGCTGACACCTGTAAATGTCTTTCAAACCTAAGTGCAATTATAAACAGCAAACCAGATGTTTTTAACACTTAAATGTTCTGATATTCTCTTTAAGGTGGTAAGCCCTAAACAAATCCAAGTAGCAGAAGCTCAAAATGTCCTCAAAATTGCACGACAGAAGTTGGCTGAAAAACAAAGAGGTTTACAGCTGGTAAGAATTTTTTACTTGTTAAATTCTCAATATCTTTATGAACTATAAAAAACACTAGGAAAAATCATTATTTCACTGGGCTGAGGGTGTAGCTCAATGCTCACCTAACGTGTGAGACACTGGGTTCCATCCCCAGCACACAATAAATTCTTTATCTCATTAGAGCTTATTAGTTAATGATAAAAGAGGGACAGTAATATAGGCAGTGAAGAGGTTAAGTAAATAACATGATATAGATGTTGTATGTAAAGCTGTTATATGTGAGGATAAAGCTGTTATATGTGAGGATTAAGTAAATAACATGATATAGATGTTATATGTAAAGCTCTTTGTGCCTACTATATAATAAAACACTCAATAATGGCATATTGTCTCAGTAATATTTTAATTTACCATTTCAACAAATTTCTCCCAGCGTCTTTATAACCTGAATTTACCAAAGATGACTAGTATCAATCCCTGTTCTTAAAAATCCATACTTGACCTATTTTTGTAGATTCACCTCAGGCCCAACACAGTGGAGCCAGATTACCATGAATGGAAACTTCTAGAACCATAGGCCAAAACAAACCTTTCTTCCTTTAGTTGTTGTTGTCAGGTATTTCTGTAGCGATGGAAAACTGAGTGACATAGCTATCATAAAGAAATGAACGACCTAAGCAGCACTATAAGCTAACGAATACTGACAGAGACATACCACACCTGCCACACAACCACAACAGAAAGCACCTTCTTCTGAGGTACTTGTGAGGCATTTTCCAGGATAGACCACACACTAGGCCACAAAATAGGCCTCCATAGATATTTTTTTTGGTACCGGCAATTGAACTCACAAGCTCAGGCTTGCCAGGCAAGTGCTGTGCCACTGACCTATTATCTCCTGCCCTCTCCATAGATTTTTTAAGATAAATATCACACATAGCATCTACTGTGACCAATGGAAAATTTACAAATATATAAAAATTAAATAAAACATTCTTAATCAATGGGTCAAAGGAGAAATGACAAAGAAAATTAAAAAATACTTGGAGGTAAGTGAAAATGGAAATACCCAAACTTGGAGGATGCAGCACACACAGCACTCAGGGAGAAACTTACAGCAGTAAGGCCTGCTTTAGAAAGAAGAAAGATCTCAGGTCAATAACCTAACCTTATACCTTAATAAGAAATAGAAAAAGACAAAGCTCAAAGCAAGCAGAAAGTAAGAAATAATAAAGCTTGGGACAGATAAAGTGGAGAATAGAAAGCCAGTGGAGAGTAGAAAGTCAATAGAGAAAAATCAATGAAAACAAAAGTTTATTTTTCTGATAGGATCAGCAAAATTAACAAACCTCTAACAGACAAGCAGAGAGAGCGAGAAAAGAGAAAAGAAAGAGAATGTAATAAAATCACAAGTGAAAGAGAGATGTCACTACTATATCAAGGTTCACTGGAGGAACAGATCTAATATAAAATATGTATGATACATAAAGAATTTACAGGCTAGGCTGACAATGTCCAGCTGCAGAGTCAGGGTTGGAAGAATGCAAAAGGGCTGCCTACACACTGCAGATCCGAAGGAGTCAGTCAGCATTCAAAAGCCAAAGGCCTGGAGCTCACCGCAGAGTGCGGCGTGAGTTCACATCCTCCAGCCGAAGGGTCTGCATTGGGAAGCTGAAGAGCCTGTGCTGAAGCCGAGAGATGGATGTTCAAAGCCCAGGGCAGAGATGGAGCTCTTCCTACAAAGCAAAAGCAAGACCTCTTCTTCTTTCCCTTTTCATTCCATCCAGGCTGCAAACCGGTTGCTTGATGCCACCCATACCCAAGGAGGATCTTCCCTCTTGAGTAAATCCACTACCCAAACATGCCCAGAACCCCACTAAACCAATCAGCTGGGTGTTTCTTATTCAAATTGGTACCACAATGAATTATCACAGCTACCTAACTTACAGAGATGTTTCAAAAATTCTAAGACAGTACTATGAAAATTTATATATCTAACAAATTAAATAACCTAGGAAAAATGGACAAACTCTTTGAAACACCCAAATAATCTAAGCTGACTCAAGAAGAAAACACAGAGTTAACACCAGTCTCTCTCAAAATCTTCCAAAAATTTAAAAAAGAAAATATTTTGGGGGCTGGGGATTTAGCTCAGCGGCAAAGCGCCTGCCTGGCAAGCGCAAGGTCGTGAGTTCGGTTCCCGGTACCGGAGAAAA